TCTGAATAAATAAGGCTTTATGAACCTTTAAGTTGAGACTTGATTAAACCATTTTCCAGAACATATGATTTGCTTGTTTTTGGTAACTTGTGGAACCCGGATGTTGGGTATTATGGTTTGGTTATATATTCATGTTGAGAATTATGTCTCGTGATGTGTTTTGGGTTAACGAAATCCATTTGTGAAAACCGGGTAATGAATCTCCGTGAGCCCAGATAAGACTTGGGTTATGGAAAATGTTGTTTAACACCCATTGAATTTTGAAAATGATTTTAAAAATTTACTACTGATTTGTGGAAAGTCTGGAATTTCTGTAAAATCAAAGTGGGGTGTTACAATAGGTGTGATGAACTCGATTATTAGCCTAACTCTCTCACGATACTTGAGTTCACTTGGGTCTTAGCCTCGCTCACTCGGTTTTGAACTGGCTCGGGTCTTTGCCTCACCAATTCGATTTTTATGATCGAACTCTCACGAATCCTAACACACGGTTACGAACAAACGTTCCTTTCTATTTCATCAATTCCAAGTCTTTTTTAAAACAATGAGGGATCATCCCTATTTATAGGTGCATACAATAAATCTAAGCCTAATCAAACTAGATCTCCTAAATCATTAATTAAAGCAATAAAATAAATCCTAATGCTAGTAAATCTCCTAATATCTTCTACTACTAATAAATAAAAGCAACATGGAAATAAAATCCTACCATTACTAAAATACTAATTGCTTGACTTGCACACCAAGCAAATCTAGAAGCTTATGTCTTCCACACGCCTCAACCATTCCGCCGCCTCAACGCATGCGCCGCCCTCACGCCTTGCCCTAGTCCTCGACGACTAGGGCTGCACCGCCTTCGCCCATGTATGTCCTCTCTCCTCGAGGCTTAAGGCCTCGCGCCCCACATGCGCCATTCCTATTCCTTGTAGGAATATGCTCCCGGTTAAGTTTCCTGATCTTCCCAGGATTACACCCGTCACTGATATTTCACGCGCGTTCCGGCACTTAACTACTTTTCCTAGTCCAGCAGGGTCTAGGATTCGTGCCTTGCCTATTCCTATGAGGATTAGGCTTGCTTCCCCGGAATCTCCCCCGCACTCACTCAGCGCCCCTCGCTCATGCGCACCCAATGCCCGCACATCGCCCATCGATAGATGCACGTCCATCCATCCGCAGTAACCTCCCTCGCGCGCCATCCACCCAACAACCTCCCCCTGCGCGCCACATCGCCTAACCTCCAAGCGCCATGCGCGTCTACGCCAATGTGCGTGTGTGCGCCCTTCTTGAATTCGCCCTTTCTTGCGCCCGAACTTCGTATGCCTATGGACCATCTTCTCACGTGCCTTCACGCACCTCCATGCGTGACCTTTCATACGAGCTTGTACCCGTCTTTTAGGCCATGCATGCGCCATTTTGGCCTTATTTTGAGCTTCTTCGGGTCGTCTTGGCTCTTGGACCTTCTCGTCGTAGGGGCTCGAAACCCACTTTTGTATCATTCCCTCCCCCTTTGAGAATGTCCTTGCCCTCAAGGACTCATCCTCGACCATCCAAACCTCGGGCACTCCTTCGATCTCGACCTCGATCAAGACTTCACTCTCGACGTCGACCTCCTTTTTGGCTTCGACCACTTCGACCCCTTCGAACATCATGTACGACTCCTTCTCACGGGCCACGTCCAAGACCTCGGCTTCTTCGACGTCTATGCATGTATCATCGGGTTGATCATCGAGCATAGTTGGGATCATCTTCTCCTTACGCTTGGCCCCGCGTGATTCTCAGAGCTTCTCTTTAGCCTCCGCTTGTTGCCTCTCCTCAAAATCCTTTCGCTCGTGAAGCTCCTCCAAAAACTCTTGCTCCCATGGAGTCAAACTCCTCTCCAACCCTTCGAGATAAGCGAGATCTTCCAGATCCAACTCATCTAATGGCAAGAAGTACATCTCTCTCTCTCTCTCTCTTTTTTTAACTCAACAATCACCAAAAATAAAAAATAGAACAAAAATTCGATCCAAACAAAATTGAACAAAAGAAGAGAAAAATTGTAATATCCCAACTTTTATCAGTATAATAATATTTCAGTTCCGATATTATTTTTTTCGGAGTTAATTAATTTCAGTTATTTCAGTCAAATTACCGGAACAATTTTCGACGTATCGTTTACGTTCGAAATAATTTTGGTAATTTAGCATTATGTTTAATTAGATAATTAAACATAATTAAGTGATTAATTTACTTTAATCACGAGATTAGTAATGGTTCGGATTTTATTCCGAGTTCATGTTCGATGCCGTGCGTTACTCGGACCTAAGTTCATGTGTACGCGAGTATCGTGCATATCAAGTGTTCAAGTACCGTGAGAGTGTTCGGTTCGAGTCCACGAGCGAGTGCCGTGCGCGTGTTCATCCGAGGCCCATGCGCCATCCGTGTCCATGTGCCGTGCGAGCGAGTGTGCGGAGAATCCGAGGCGTG